TCCCAAAAATAATAAAACCGTCAAAGGAAGGGAAAATATGAAAATGAAAAAAAAAACTTTTCCCCCAAAATCCTAGATCAGGCCCATAAGTTTATAAAAAAAAAAATAAATTTTATTTCAAAACCGAATATCTCCTTCCCCCAACGATCGATTGCCCATCCCATCCCTCATAACCACCAATAAAACCCCAAGCCCCCAAGAAAACGCGAGAAATAAAGACAAAAATCCTAAATACACCCCAATTTTTTGAATTCGCGAAACTTTTCCCGCCCCGCGACCCGCGAAAAAAAATTTCTTCAGTAAATCACAGTGTAAACACTCCCCCAAGATTACTAGTGCTGGTCAGTAAATAGAACTGACTGATTAGTAAATATTATATCTCGATTGACCGGAGGAATATTTAATCTCGAGTGAAATTGGGAGATAGAGAAAGTAGTAACGACCGAAGGTGTACCACACGAGGGGTCTGAAATAATCCGAAAAAGGTCAGAGCATTGTCACGAATGATCCCCTGGGAGGGATGATGATTGTCAGAGTGAGGAATTGGGGTTGCTGATAGTTCCCATTGACACGACAGTTAATATATTAGTGGGATGCTGTCATGACATTTAAACGCATGGCATTTAGCCGAACCGCCCCCGTTGTTAAACACGTTACGACCGGATATATCATTTTTTTTCCACCCCTCGATATTGATGCAATTTCCTATCCAATACGTATGAACAGCATCTCCTACCCTTTCCGGGGTGGGAGACACAATACCCCCTCGGATCTCGTTTCCGTGTAAACTGGTGGTTCGATTCCACTCCGTGGAAATGATACTGACGCATTTTATTTCTCCTGAGCAAAGAGATGATGTAATTCAATTATGAAAATTTAATTAAACGGATGGATTACATCGGAGATCGCCTGGAGTTTTCACTGGAGTTTTTTGAGGGGTTGTTGTGGGATTCTCAGAGTTAGAATTATCTTGATTCATTTGAGAGTAATTGTCGAGGCGCGGCTCTTTCACTTTCTGTCAGCTGTACTTTCTTGTCTGATAATAAATTTCCATTAGGGCTTGTATGGGGGATGCTAAAGAGGGGATGCTTATCACGTCACGCCAGCGGAGCAGATGACTCCGGACTCAGCTGTCTTTGGGCATATGACCACTATTTTCTTTATGCTGACCTTAAAAAATCGAAGGACCCTCGAAAACCCGCGTCATTGGAAAAATAATAACTAGAAGAGAACAATCCTGACACTTCAGAATAAATTCAGAGGAATTCCCGATTTTTTATCTTCAGAAAAAAGAAAATTTCCTGATAGCTAAATGTTTCCGTTTTTTATCAATTGTTTATTCGAATTATTTTTTGAGGTTTGTAATTTTTAATTAATGGAAATGAGAAAATTCTGGGGATTAAACCGATAATTTTCCGGATTTCCACCGATTTGTTGTTTTGATTTCGCGGAAAATGGAGAATTTCAATGTCAATCAATAAAACTGTCAACAGAATTCGGTGGCATGCAGGCCGAACCCGCTTGACAACCGATATCCCGCGGACTGTAGCTCGTGCCGAGGAATGAAGGCCCATTTGAATCGGCAGCAGGTGTCCACAGGGTGGAAAGAAGTTGAATGTGGCGCGTGCTCGGGACTACTCCACGAGGAAAAAGAAGCAGAAAAAAAAAAAAAATTCCACACAAGAGGCCCCACTGGAAACAGGTATTCCACACTGGCAAGATGTTACCAACGAGAGATCAAAAATAAGAGGGAGGATAAAGACACTGGTGCGCGCCTTTCTGAAAATAACGGAGAGGTCTTCCTCGCAGACGCCTCGGAGGATCGCCCCAGCACCTGTTTCTCCGATAGTAACAGCCCATTTTTTTTTTCCATCGAGAGATATATCCAACGATCGGTCCAAGGACACCATCGAGCTGGCCACAAAGGCACAATAAAAATATGTGGAATGAGAATGGATCGATTAATGGGTCGAGGTCGTCCACTGAAATTCAAGGATAGAATTCGTTTCTAGATGTACTAGACACCCTGATAATTGCCCTTCAACACCTGAACAGGGAAATGGCTACACTCTGGACAAAGAGGCGATACCAAAGGTGACTTCCTAAAACCGTTGGAGCTGCCTCGCATAAGCAGGTGTCCAAGATGAAAATGCATCAGACGCTTCATTAAGAGAGATCGAGGAAGATTAGGATGATCGATGCTTCCGACTCATCAGATCATCAGAATCATTGAAGGGATCGATCACAACCGAATTCAATACCAATTCCTCTCCTACCAAATCTTCAACCGAATTTCCTCAGGAGTCGATCTGCAAAAATCGGCTAGCTCTATTTGTTTTTTCCAGTCGTAGAATGGATTGAAAATATGTGCCAGATGATGGTCTTCATAGCTGGCATAAGCCCCGGGTAATCGATTAATTAGCGCAAGCCCAACACCCACGCAATTGCCATGGTAATCCACCAGACGGGATCAACGACCAGACACTCGGAACAGATCTCGATACCCAACCATTTATATCTCGAATAGCCCTACGGCGTGGCACGCGTCTGTGGCAAGGTGTTTCCACATTTTTATTCCTCATTTCAGTTATTTTCTTTTTACCTCGTCTTTTCTTAAGACTCGCCAGAGGCGGCGCACCCCAAGAAAAATATATATATAAAAAAAGGAAAAGATGCACACAGTCACACACAGATGTAACGATCGTCCAGAGAGCAGCAAAACTGGATGGAGAGAACGAGAGATGCAGCTGTTACCGATCGACGCATCGTATACGGCGCGTGCCACCAGGTACCTATATAATAAAAAGGAGATAATGTCGGGGTGCCTGTGCTACGACGCGGGAAACGAAGGGAAATAAAAAAGAACCGGGGGAACCACCAGTGTTCAAACAGAGAGGAGGATATCGATTTTTTTCTCTCAACGTTTCACTAAAAAAAAATGTGCCAGCAATAAAATTGAACGATTTAATTATCGTATGCGAATCGAATGTGAGTCGAATGCTCTGGGAGTGGCAGTCCAGAATTTTGAGATTAGCATTTGAATTTTTGGAAATACCCAAAAGGGAGAGGCCAGAGGAAAAAATAATAACACCGACTTGCAAAGCAGTTCGACTTCATTAAAATTATGCTAATATTAGTAATCCCATTCCCTAGATCTCCAATTATGTGATTGCAGTCCTGATAACGAAAAGGTCAACGTACCACCCGTAAAAAGGGGTTGCGCTGTTGAGAATTGTAAAAAATCCCCCGAGGGTGATAATTTCCAAGTTTCAACAGCCTCTGTTCCTCAGTGAGATTAATTATCTAATGCCACAGAAACATCTGTCATGAGTTTTACAGGCGTGGGCGTGTGCACTCGTTTAGCCACATCTCATCTCTTTATCCCCTCAATTGATCCCACAACAACAATGAAACGATGATACACCGAAAATGAATCATTCATCTCTTTTATTGACTCTTGACTTTCGAGGGGGAGAATAAAAGAACAACTTCGAGAGGGCAACACAAGAGAAATCAAAGTACTAAACAGAATTACCTAGATGAGAGGGACTTGGCAAAAGAGTCACGTGCATCCTGTTCTATCGACTCTCTAAAAGCACGACTGAGTGTCTCGCCCACTAGATTGACAGATCGTGTAGTAAAGAACAAAAGAATCCCCAAGGAGAAACACGAATTGGCCTTTAAATCCCGTTATTGCCTCATTTTGAAATTCAACGCGTGTGTGTCATAACGCCGCGCAGCTTCTCCGCGCAATTTGATTCGGCGCACGCGCGCGCTCATCTCACGTTTTAATTTTGCAATTGCAGGGATACTATTGAAATTATCGAATTGGAAATCCCTCCGAGGGGTAGAGGGACATGGCAAGAGACCTCTGATGCATCATACGAGTCATTCCGATGCTCTGAAGCCTGACAATTGACGGGTGAAGAATTGACGTTACCCCTATGTCAGATATCTCTTGACTCTTTTAACTGAGGAAGTTTCTCAAAAGCCAGCGACCGAGGACAGACGGTGAAACAGCAAAACGGGTAAACTTCGAGCCAGGGCAGGTGCAGTGGTGGATGCTAGCCCGAGGACTGAAACAGCTGTCGCCCCTGCCCTACCCTGGCCTTAGCAGGCGCACGCGCCAACCGCACCCACATTTACGTTACGTTACGTTACGTTACCTTTCTCCTGTACGAAATGAGAAGGCTTTAATCGCTATCTCTCCCTCACGGTAACGGTCAACGATCTCGCACGGATGAGAACAGAACAAATTATTTTCCCTATTCTTCAGTATCTCCATTAAACTCACATCACTTTGTCTCTATTACGAAGAAATTTTCGTATTTGGCGTTTGCCTATAAATTCGTGGGAATCTTTCCCACGGAATAGACTTTAGGTAATCGATCGACTTCTCGGGGAAGGTGGAGCTGTTGAAATGGTGGGAAACAGGGGATTGTGGATGATTTCGGATGTTTAATCGACTTTTCGAGATTTTTTTGGACTGACTCCACCCGCGATATATCTGTTGCGTAAGGTTTGAACCTGTGGGAGTCAAGTGGAATGACAGAAGCCAACGAATAAGGATATTTTCCTTCTTTTTTTGCTGCTCTAACATCACACCGATTTCCCAAGAAAATTCTGAGATTCTTTCTTCTCCATACGGCTACCGAACAAAAAACAACAAAATCCAGTGCCGAGATTGGTGCACGCGTTGCGGCAGCCGTGCGATTATACTCATTTCAACTCATACTTGGGAAAATTTTTCCACTTGTTTCAACGATGCGCTCACAACCAAGGAATCGAGAGGTAATAAATATGAGAAAGGCCGGCTGGATAAATTATGCAATCTAACCAGGCAACGGAAAATGGGTTGAACGAGGGGGTGGAGACGCGGGCGCAAACTATGTTACTCGAACCGGTGACGAAGACCGAGGGGAACACGGAGGAAGAGACCGATAGTGCGGCTATCGTTATCACCCAGAGTGACTTTTTTTAATTTTTTTATTTATTCCTACCTTATTCTCGCATGGCTCTTGTCGTTTTTTCCCCCGCGAAGCGGCACATACGATTCTGTCAGACGTGAATACAACATTGGCCCATATCAGCGTCCGCTCCCGCTCATCGGCGGAACGATTGTCACGGCAGAGGTGCACGGCACTGAAACAAAGAGAAAGACTGATGAGCGAGAGGGAAGAGGAAAACTGAAGTAATTAGAATCTTTTCAGCGACGCGATTTGCATGGTAAATGCTCGCTCACCGGTTGAGACAAAAAAAAAATGAATCCTCAAAATGAGACCAGAAAAATTGAATGATTTTTCAGGTGACAGGTCGGACAAACTGTCACATTGTCTTCGGTATTTTACCCAACTCCCCACCTCCCTCAGTTTGCTCTCGCCGGAGTGCAACAAGAATTCGAAACTGCCGCAGACAAAGAGGTGATCTTTACTTGAGCATCCGGTAGTAATTAGTTCCGCGGACGGCTATGGAAAAATGCGCAAGTCGCATAAGTGAAAGTTTGAGGTAAACTGGAGTTGCATCCATCATGCTCATATGAGGTTGAACATGATCAGCAGAGAAAGGAAAAAAAAATAGTCGTTGGCGAATTGAGGCAATTACTGTGGAAAAATTGATAATTGAAGTACTGGGTAATGAAGAGGATCGGCTCATCTGCGATGCTAAATGCAGTCTAGATTTTCCATATGCACGTGAAAAAAAATTTCCCAGATAGACGGAGTAACGAGAAAAATGAATATTAATACCAGCATTTCTTCTTTCATCGAATAATGGAAGTCTCATTGAAATATCCCGGAGTGTGCGAAAATGGCGTAATAATAGATCGGCCATATATTTTTTTTTTCTCTTGATAATGAGAGATACCTCTAGCTCCTGTACGATGCCAAGGCATTTTCTGCACCGAATCGTGGGATTCGCATTAAGATGAAATGGAAATTGACAGTCATCGCTGCGAGGACACTGTTTTGCGTCCCTACGCGTAAGCTAGCTGCCATATTTACATAACAATCGCTGATCACGTAACCGTCTTCACGACTACCTTATCTCCTTCCCTCTCCCTCAATTTTTCTTTTCTCATGTCCGCACCTTGTGTGCAAAACATACGCTCCTAGCCTGCTTTTTCCTCCCCATTTGAGAAAAAAAAGTACTGACAAAATGGGTGGGAGGGGCGGAGGGGGAGGAGAGGGGGGGGACCCAACATTTTGTTCTGACAAACTAATCTCACAAAGTGACGGGCAAAATGGCCGGAAGTGACATGACAAAAGAGAAAGAGGAGAGAAAGAGATTAGGTGAAAAAAGGTAGGGAGGAGGGGGAGGAGGGAGAGGAGGGGGTGAAGGGGGTGCGAAAAAAAAAAGAATCGATCCGCTCATGGAGAAGTGACACGATTTGAGCATGTGTGTATGGGTAACGAGCTCGTGTGTATGCCGAAAAAAAAAGGAGAGAGAAAAAAGCAACGAGTTTCGTGTAAAATTGATTCTCACGGGGCCATCGACGGGCGCCAAACAAATGGTCAAAGTGAATTTTCGTGTTGTGCCACGGAATCGCGATGGCAACCGCGGCTGGGCTAGGCGTATCCAAGGTAACAGTAGTGGTGGCACCGAGGTAAAGTGGGTTTACCAACGCGTCATTACAATTTCCATGAGGTACGCTCTTCTCCAAATTCAGGGTGAGCACATGAGAAATTTCTCCAACGGGAGTAATTAAACTGGAATTATTTCATTTCATGTGGAGACAATTTTTGATGGAAGAGACACCTTTCAGACTGGAAATCAATGCAAGTTAAGAAGTCCCATAATTTTTGGTGAATTTAAAAATCATTATTCATCGTAATGGAAATTCTTGGAAATTAGAATTTTCGACAATCTTCGCCCGACATGGAAAATTCCTCGCTGAATTCCCAGGCGAACTTGAATTTTCCCAACGTTTTCCCCTTGAATCGACTAGTCCGTTATTTTCCGTTGCTCATCAATTTTTATCATCACAAATGACAATTTCCACCGACAAATTCGGAGGAAAAGCTCCTGACGTACCGTGGAAAACGCTCATAATTTTCCCCCTATTTCGTCATTCACACAAATTAGGGGCGGTGCATAAAAAATGTACGACCCAGCGAATGAATATTCCATAGTTATCTGTTTTTAAATATAGCTTTTGGGGACAAATGAGTCTGTACGGTCGGTATGTTTCCTCATACAGTTGCCATGACGATAGATCGCTCCAGCATTATCGTTAAACTCACTCACGATTCGTACATCCCACTTTTGACATATGCATATATTTGTGTATGTGGGCCCACCCCGCCACCCCTCATCCAATCATGAGCCAGTGAAGAAAACACCGGGCAATTGTCGGGCGCATTGTCTCCCACGCCTGGGGCATGAACACCTGCCGGCTGCTGCGATTACGCCCTTGTTCCACGTAAAAGAGTGACAATTCAAAAAAAGATATATGTCATGAAATAACACATTATCATGCAACAAATTGTTTATCACCTCTTGCCGATTTTCAACTCCCGGAGGAACAAGAGACGATGGAAAATAAATTCTTCCACGTACGTCAGATGATAATTCAACAAAATCATAAAACATCTATTCGACACGTGTTTTACGATTTTTTTTAAAGCCCGAATAATTATCGGCTTAGTGTCCCACAGTGTCAGTGGTTGGAAAATTTATATCTCGGATTTGGCACCAGTTTTGCCGATTTTTTGCCGATTTATTGCCGATTTATTGCCGATTTATTACCGATTTATTGCCGATTTTTCATTGGCAATTCAATAATTATAGATTTTCACGATGGAATAATGACATTGTGATGCCAAAGAGCGGTGATATCGTACTTAGCGACAAGAGGAGTTGGAATCGGCCTTTCCCACACATGGGAATTGTTTGCAATGATCTCTGACCCTTACGCTGGCGCATAGCAGTCGCAACATCATCGTTATATCCACGCAAATGAAGGAGACCGTGTTACAATATTATCATGACTTCGACGGGACTTATTTTTTTTTTTTCGTGACGCCAATCGGCGCTCCCCGCCGTCCCACCTCTGGGGGCAGAAATAAAGCCCTCATGAATCCGTGGGGCATGAATATGGATTTTTAAACTCTGTTTGATCATTCATTGATCTCCGAGGTCACCTGAGGCTGGCCTCGTCGAGAAAAAGTTCCTTAATTATCCAAAAAAAAAAAAAAACCTACGACGAGAGAAATTTCTGGATTGAAGAACAGCCATTTCTCTCCGGTCCACAATAAATTTTCCGAAATCAAGAAAATCGGTTTTTAATCTCGAACTTCTGTTCTCACGTCAACATATTTTTTTATTTTTTTAGTCTGACGGGTGCAGTCTATTTTTAATCTATTTCTTCGGAGATTTTCATCTTTCCTTTGTTCGATTATCGATAAACAGTGGATTTAAAAATCGACTCCTTTTGATGATACGATCGAGCTGGAATAGATTAGGGGTCCGAGATAATTTCGTTAATTTCCAGGGATGAATTCGAGATTTAATTCGACTTCTAATCTGGATTTTAAGGTAATGAAGCATCGGTTATGCAGATGGAAGGTTGCACTGGGGATTCCAAGGCTTTATCCCGTCAATAGATGCTAATCGAAATGTATCAGTTACTTTAACGGCCATTCCGAGAGCCGACCGGATAGTTCGTGACAACTGTTGGTTTTATTTTTAAAAACGTTTCAAGGAGCTCATAATCATTCAGCTATATCCAATACGCAAGAAGTGGCAAAAGAATCGTCTCCATGAGACAACAAATTGACCTCTGGGGTCGTGTAATGAGAATCGATACGGTGTGACGATGAATTTCTGATTGTCATTCGTTGTTCACTGGACTTCAACTCATCTTTACTGCGCTACTAGCGTATATTCCTCATACTTTCAGTGTTTTCGCTTCTCAAATTTCTCCAAATCATTCCACGATTCATTCGATTTTCAATATCAATCAATTCGAGTTAATCTGACCTTTAATTCAGACCCCACTCTAGATTGTCTTCTGGAAAATCACCAAAAAATTTTCCAAGAAAATATTTCTGGGCGATTCCTTTCAATACGTGCCATAATCGATGGCATAAATAATTTCTGACCATAAATAATCGTTTTATGATGCAAATATTCGATGACATGCTCTACTTTCCCATGGCTCCGAGAATGAGGCACCCCAACGAACCCGAGTGGACCCACCGCAAAGTGTCCACCGCACTGGCAAAAATCCCCGGAAGGATATATTGAAATTCACAAGGAGATGGTCACTGGCTCATTTCCACAAGATATTTCCCATGGTCGTGGCTACCTGGAGTCCAATTTTTTTATTTCACGTACCTCTTAAAGGGTCTTTTATAAGGCTCTGGTCATCAGTGACCATTTGGGCCCACGAGGTGAATTACCTGGACGCTGTCCGCTGCCCATCATCACAGGACAATGCCACCTCTATTTAAATCAGAGTATCCGTTGGTCACAGGTGACCTTTATTGGGTACCGATGATAGCCATTTTGTCCAGGGGATCACCATTTACGGGTACCATGGGAAAAATTCTCGAGATCATCTCATCGTAAATGGAATAACTCCTGATGATTCACACGGATCATCCTTGCATTTCTATTCACCACCTGGACGATGTGCCTTCAACGAAATCCGATTATTCCCCCGAGGATGATCTCAGGTATCCGTTTTATTTGTTAATTCCTTTAATTAAAAAATCCCAGAGGCCTCTCGGGGATGGGCTACAACGAAAAATGCAATTTAGCTGCAGAAAATGGTGGAGTAACGTCTGGAATTTGATTGTTGGTGATTTTTTTTTTCATTTGACACCTGGAAGTTGATTTTCAAGAACATTCCTCAACGGTTAGACCTGGAGGAGTGCAAACCGTTTTTTTTTTGTTAAATAGAGCAACGGCCTGTTGTCCCCACTCCAATTGTTGACCATTTGAATGTAACCAGAGCAAAATAGTTGGTTTCCCTTGGAGGATAACCCACGCTCGCAAAATAACGCCTGAACGAACCTTCGGCCCTGCCCTTCGCCACTGGCCTCGGCCAATGGAATTACTGTTCTGATTTCAATTTATCCACAAACTGGTCTACATTTTTTTTTCTCCTACCTCGATTTTCCGTTAAAACCGTTTCTCAATGA